AGTTAGGAAACATTCCGTGACAATCACTCCCAAATGAGGCATTGTGTATACACACCTCAAATTTACAACAGGCTCAAGCCCTCTGAAAGGCAGGGTGCCTTACTCCCAGCAAATATCTGCTGAATGGGTTCTATTTGAATTTTAATGTAATGCGTCAGCATTTCCCACTCTCTGGATCTAAAGCCAACCCCATCAATCATCTTTGAGGCTCATTCTGTCAGAAACACCCCAGTGAGCTGAAGTAATATTTTCCAAGAACAGGCAGTTACATGCCCCTTCACTCTCTCTGTTGTAGGAATCTGTTCCAATATCCGGTCACCCCACCCAAGAGATGACCTACGGAGTAAACACTCAGTCACGGATTGACATATCTGGCATAGTCACAGCACCTCATGTGTTGAAACATCAAGGGAAACTTCTACAAAAGTTCTTACTTTAATTAAAGCATCATTATTTTCTGATAGTGGTCCCTAACCAGTAAGTAACAACCGAGCCATGAAATTATAGTTTTAAAAACTGAACCTTCAAGGTTATCTGGCCTATTGTCTTCATAGATGAGGAAATTAAAGTCCAAAGAGGTTTGAGGATCTCTCCTGGGTCTCAAAGCAAGTTAGCTGCAAAGCCACAACTAGAGCTCAGGTCCCATGACTCTCTGCTCAGGGTTCTTCCACTTCATGATGCTTCCTCCCAAGCTGTAGGAATCAGTTAAGGTTCTATGGTGGCAGGCAACAGAAACTGTCCCAGCAAACATAATCACAAAGGGAAGGATTAACTGAAAGGATATAGGGGGACCACAAATTGGAAGGAAGAGATGACAATCGAGTCTTGAACTACACAAAACCAGGGGACTCCAGAAGGTCTTGCTGTCAATCTTGCCCAAATTGTACCATTGACATTCAGGAGCTCCAATAATTTCCTCCAACTTTGCATAATTCCACCCAAGATTTAAAGTTGCATGAGACTCTGATAGTACCATGTGCCTACCTCTTGGTGGTTCTTGAGTGATAAGAAAAAGGATCCGATGAAAGGAGCCTCCAGGAATCACTTTACGGTCCATAATGGCAGAGCAAATACCTGGGCTTCCGACCAAACTGAGACTGCACACAGTGGAGAGAATTAATTTCCCTAAATACAATCAGAGTGCAGGTATGAAGGCGTATTGGTGCTGAGTGGTCAAAAATTGGTAAATGTCTCCTACAAGATGAAATACATACATGAGACCTCGCACAACTCTAAGAATAGATATCACTCTGCCAGATGATCAGTACAGTGATGTGCTGGTTGCTGATCATTAGAGGGGAGAGCCTATTCCTCATTCCTGGTGCCTCCTTTAATGTTGAGAGAAGAACAACTAATGTTGACGCTGCTGGCTCTCCACTCCAATTTTATCACACAAGGAAGTATAATCACTTCCCTATCTGATAAAACTGGGAAGACTAAACTGGACATTCTCATATATCATCTCCCTTTTTCCTCTTGGGGGGCAAACTTGCTTACCAGGATGAGTAGTGGGAGCTGCCAAAAAACTCATGGGACATCCCATCACGTCCCAGAGGGAGGGCCTGCCCTTCATCCAGCACTGCCTGTGGGAGAGAAGATACATCTCTCTCATCTGGGGTTCTGTAATCCATATTCTACATCTGCAACCTAGGGTTTATCAATAGGAACGGTGATATTGTAGATGTTTGCCCTTCTTGGTTTTATTTCTGAGTTTGTTCAGAGCTCAGGCACATCCCAGATCTCACCTGTCTCTGCCTCCCACCAAGTTGTATTCCCTCCATCTTCACTCCTCCCCAACATTAAAAGACCCCAGCACTAACAAGAGGGACAGCTAAGGTGATATACACTCCCCACTGGAAAGAAACTGGACCATCTGAGGCTGCTAACTCAGCTCTCACGTGATTCCCTGGTGCCAAACAGCACTCACTCTAGAGCATGGTCAACTGTGGGCAAGCTATCTCTGGAGACTGGCTCTGGGCCTGTCTGTGTGAAGCCTCCAGACCTGGTCCCTCATCCTAGATCCCACCTGTCTCTGTCTCCCACTAGGCTGTGTTCCCTCCATCTCGCCCCTGTCCACCATACTCCAGCCCAGGAAGCCTGCCTATGAGTTAGCTCTTTCGAACTCCTCACATCTTGTATCAAACTTGTTTTCTCTACGTGGGTCCTTCCTCTTCCGTGAGGCTCAGGCTTTGAAACTCAAAGCTTAAGAATCAACTCCTTTTTTGTCTCTGTATATCTACTCTATCACCCCTTCTTGAGGCAATGAACTATATGCTTCGCTGGATGAATGGGGTAAAGGCCAAGAGGTAAGAATAAATATGGGAAACAAAAAGCTCATTCAAAAATATTATTCCACTCCACAAGTGACTCAGCAATTACCACATGATGTTACAAACAAGAGGAGTGAGCACACAGCACTACGTGGATATGAATAAAGGCCAGATAATCCAGTGAAACCCTCAAGAAAGGCTTCGGGGGAAAGACTGCTCCAGGTTCAGGCTGGAAATTGTCAGACTAGAATCTGAGTTCTTACAAGAGTGTGTGTGTTTGTGCCCTGGGGACTTTTAAATTTTGCTTCTTTGTTGACTTTTGAATTTTGGAAAATTCAAACATAAATGTAGAAAAAGAGCACAATGAACCCCCAAGTTTATTTCATTTAAACCACCCATCTTCCCCTGCCCAAATTATTTTGAAGCAAATTCCAGACATTTAAAAAGTAAGGATTTCCAAAACATTATCTCAATACCATCAATGCACATTAAAATCGCTGATAACTCTTTAATTTTATTAAGTAAACTGTCAGCATTCAAATTTTCCCAATTGTATCCTTTAAAAAAAAAATACAGTTGGCTTGTTCAAATCAGGTTTCAAACAAGGAGGTTCACGTATTGCTTTTGTTTGATATTTATTGTAAGTCTCCTTTCATCTACAGCTTTCCCCTCCTTGTCTTACCTGCAATTCATTTGTCAAAGGAACCAGATTGTCCTATAGAGTTACCCACATTCTGGATTTTCATGAATAAATTCCTGTAGTGTCTTTTTATACATCCTTTTTTCCCCTCTATTCACTACAAACTTGTAGTTAGATCTAAAGCTTGATCTGACAAAACTTAAAAATTTTTTTTAACAGAAATACCTTATAGGTGGTATTGTAAAATTCCAATAGGAGCCACGTAATTTCCTTCGGCCCCTCTGTAATGTCAGCAACCATTGCAGACGATTGCCTGGATTCATTATTTCACTAGGAGTGTGTATTGGTACTTTAGAGGTTTAAGACAAATCCCACGAAAAGAGCTCACGTTCCTCTGTGATTCGGGGAGAGTGGTATTTGTTATGAGCAGACACTCGCTGACCCTCTAGGGCTGCAGTCAACAAAGTAGGAGGAGGAGATGCAGCAGCTTCGCCAGCTAGCCTGAAACAGAGCTTTACAATGTTTCAAAATGTGCTAACGAATCTCATTGAACAGCGGGGTTGTGATACTCAAAGATGGCTGCCTAAACTGAAAAGAAATTTAAACGCAGGTTCCAGAGCACTTCTACCATGAAGCAGAGAATTCTGGAACTCTGACGTCATTCCCTTTGTGATCGCTCTTCAATCAGATTCCATTCCTTTCACTAAATAAGAATAAACAGATTGACGGATTTTCCCCCCTCTTGTGGAAATTCTCCTTGTCATAAATGAAAAGTCAGTTGGGTTCATTTATAGACAGTCCTGTCAAGAGTAAAAAAATCACTTACCATGAAAAGCAAAGAGAGCACGATGAAACAAAGCCGCATCTCTTTTCCTACCCAGGACATCTGCAAGCAGTTAAGGTGCTGGAGTCATTCTGGGCCTCTGAGCATCAACTGCTAAGCCACTTGTTAAGTTTTCAGTACGACTCACTTCACAGTGCAGACTGAGAATTTATACTAAACGAAGAATTGCTCCCAAGAATAGCTCTTTTTAAAATAAGGCATTGGTTAGAGTAATTTTTTATCTAACAAGCAGTAATAAGAAGCAACATTTATTTGCATAGATGTTGCATAGAGCCCAACCAAGTCCTACAAAAACAAAAGATTTCTTATTTTCCTATATACCTAATTGAAGGCAAAAAGGCAATGAGATAATAATCATAACTTTTTAATCAGCCAAGGAATATTAGGGAGAGTGTTGGGGGAGGGTGGGGTGGCAGCTGTGAAAATGACAGATTTGCCGTCATAAATGCGAACACCATCTAAGGTGCCTAAGCTCACACTTGGCATTACTACAAACCACCTGTGAACTTACAACGTGTCACGCTTCAAAGAAGCCTAGATACGTTTTCAAGTGCAATCTTTAACACTCAATTACCTTTGACATCAGTTCTATCTCAAAATTTATGACTGTTTCTGAATACGCTTAATTATTTAAAAATGCAGTTCATTACGGCTTTTCATTTCATAAATGGTCATAGAAAATAGTGCCATGCATGTTCACTATTTGTTTATTTATTTCCTTATTCGTGACGGATTTAAGACAGCCTCTGATGATACATAAAATAAGGTGAGAAAAAAGAAATAAATAGAAAGCAAGGAAGACATAAAACAGGGACGGGAACGAGGCCAGTCCGCGAAAGGTGTGTGTGTGTACTTCCAAGGAGGGTGCTGACCACACATGGAGAGACTTTTCTAAGATTCAAGAAAGTCTCTGAATAAACCAAGTCGTTTTGGCTTCGTGTGGACATGGTTACTCAAACCTTCATCAGGGATAACTTTCTCCCAGCCTATCATCAGTTCGATGACTTTAAAACTTTCAGGTGAAAAAACAAGTAAGTCTTGGGGCCAGCCCAGTGGCGTAGTGATTAAGTTCATGTGCTCTGTTTTGGCAGCCCAGGGTTCACTGGTTAGGATCCCAGGTGCTGACCTAGCACTGCTCACCAAGCCATGCTGTGGCGGTGTCCCACATACAAAATAGAGGAAGACGGGCACGGATATTAGTTCAGGGCCAGTCTTCCTCAGCAAAAAGAGGAGGGTTGGTGGCAGATGTTAGCTCAGGGCTAATCTTCCTCAAAAGACAAACAAAAACAACCCACAGATAAGTTTTTAAGTGCAGCATACAACAGAAAGCCATAATTTTACCTATTTGAGATCATCAACTCTTTCAGATTTCTTTAGAAATATTTTCCCTAATTCTACAGCTAGTACAATTTTCAAAGGTCATAGAGTGCCCTTTGAACCTTTCTAAGTCTTTTGAAGAGTTTCTAAAAATTAGAGTATGGATTATATAAACGTTTTTTTCCTAATTTCAGCATGGAAGATTCTCTGCACCACGTTCCGACTCCAGTCAGTCTTGTGAAAAGTATTCCCCAAGGGCTTCCAGGCCCTTGGCACCTGCAAAGTCTCACATCTACCTATCCATTTTTTTACTTATTCATAAATTCATCAACCTAACAGGTATTTATCGAGTACATTCTATGTTCCAGAAGTGGCACTAGGCATATTGAGGAAGGACTGGAAAAGATACATGTTCTGTCTTTAAGGAGCAGAGCAGGCATGAGGCCTGACCGTGACTCCCTTCCCTCGAATGCACGTCCCCCATGGAGCTCCTCAGCAACCCAGGCTCCCTGAGCTTGGTATTCCGTTTGACAAAGACCAGCCCAAAGAGATATAAGAAAAAACATGCTCGGATTTCTGGAAAAGCTTCCTTGATGAAATGAAAGACTAAGCTAGAGCAGAGACTTTGACTCTGCAAAGAATGAGCTGTTGAACAAATGCCAGCAGCTGGGTCCTTTCATCTCAACATTTTGTATGTAAGAAAAGCAATCTCTATTTGCTTATGCCCCCCTGAGTCAAAGTTTCTGTTAGCTGCGGCCTAAAGCACTCCTAATTCAATCAATGAACTCACAGTCTATTTGAAAAATTAGACATGGATAACCATAAAATGCAAGACAAAAAGAAGAAAATGCTGTAATACTGGCTCCAACAAAGTACTATCACTTTTGAGGAATGTAAATTATTTCCATCTAGGAAATAATTGAGGAAAAAGAGATGCATGGGGAAAAATTAGGAAGAGAGGAAGGGAAAAAATGAGATGTTTGCTGTTGCATGTATTTCTCCCAGTAAGGCTGCTTTAGAAATAATTTGAGGCGATGCACCCTGATCAAAGGTCAGACAACAGAACTGTCACCTTGCAGGACGGTAACATGGAAGTCAGCGGGAGACAGACGGGAGGGAGAGGCAGCAATGAGGAATAACCAGGTTTTTTGGACAGAGTTGGGGTAGCTGCACTGGGAGAGAAGAGAAGTTTTAGGAAGTTTTGATAAATGTTGAATAATGGGATTGTTCCTTTCCTTTCTTTTTTAGACACTCCAATAATGATTTGTATCATTTCTTAGGGCTTTTGGCAGTGGATGCATGTTCCATTGAATGAAATACTGTACAAACAAGAAACTTTAGGCAACTTAAGAAGAGACAGAATATTCCAGTTCCATATACGTTATCATATTTAACCATCACCACAACTCCATGAAAAAGCTATTATTATTATTTTTAATATGGGGAACAGAGGCTCAAACCACTAAGGTATGCACCTCAGCTCTTACCTTGAGGAAGCTGCATAGTCAGAACTGAATAGACTTTGCCCATTTCCAAATCCTTTCTCTTTCTTCTACACTGTGTGACCTGGAAAAAAGGGGAGTGGAAAACATAGGAAAGCAGTGGATGCAACGAGGGCAGAAGGAAACAAATTCCTTAGACAGCAATTTCAGTGAAATTGCATAATATACTAGAAGCTAAAGGGAAGCTCTGTTGCTCTGTATAGGGAGGGCAAAAAATCCACAGTTTTTTTTGTTAGGTGGAAGGTAGCTACACTACTATCTGGGTGACCTTGGAGGATGCACTTAACACCTCTGAGTCTCAGTTTTCTCATCCATAAGATGAGTTACTATGATGAGTCAATGAGATAACGCACGTAAAGTACTTAGCTACAGCGCCTGGCATGTTGTAAGCTTCAAAACTGTTAACTATGGGTATCATCACGATTACCCTAATTCTTTCTCTTTCCCCTCCCTTCTGTTCTTTAAGAACATTGGTTTCCAAGAGGTCAAAAAAGGAAACAAGAGGTGCCTACAGGCAATGGAACAAAATAATATCAGAAGACTCCGCAACTTGAATGATCTTGGACCATCACCAAGATCAGCAGGACTTCCCTCCTTGGCCGGTAAATACCATTCACACCACTCCTCATGGAGCAAGGCTTCTGGAGCGCCAGAGCAGCGGCTCTGCGGTGGCTGGAAGGGAAGTCGTCCTGCAGGGAGACTAACAGGAAAACCAGAAGGTCACAAAGGAAGGGGCCTCCCACTCTCTAAGAAAGATGAAATCAGACTGTTATTCTTCCACTTGATGTTTAAAACACACTGGGTAAACTCAATTTTTTTTAAAAAGCATATGGCCATGCCATGACTTTTTTTCTTGCATGCTGTTACACTTGACTCATATGATTCCTCAAAATGCCTAAACTTACAACCGTTATAAATAAACCTTTTGTTGGAATCCTCATAATTGAGTCTTAAAACTTTAATATAGCTGTAGTTAATGGTTTATAGACTGTTGAGTGAATAAACCCAAAATGTACACTAAACAAGCATGGGACGCAGGAGGGTAAACAGTTGAAGGCAGGTGCACAGTGTAATCTATACCAGGCTGGGGAAAGGGCCCTAATAAGATAACTTAAGCTTGAAAGGAAATCCTCTGTGAGTGAAATATGAGACACATAGGAATTTTGCAGCAGGAAGTCCCTGAGAATAAAAACAGGCTGTTTGACCGAGTGCCTCTGAATTCCAAATAAGGCTTGCGGGGAGCAGACAGCGCAGTGATGGCAGCGGTAACAAGCGGCCACTAAAGTTATACAGCCTTTAATCTGTTCCACCTCTGGATCATTGCCTGATCTTCCAATTTCCTTTCTCTCCCTTGGTTTCAGTGTTGACTCTGGGACCTGAATCCCCACATAGTGTGAACACAACAACTTATTAATGTGGAAGTACTTTAGACTTCAGATATATAATTTCAGAGCTGGGAAGGGTTTGGGGACGGCTGATCGGACCCAGACTAGATCCGCAGTCTCCTCACTTGGATGCCACCGACACAGTGAGGCAAAAACCAGGAGTGCCACCCTCAGGCTGTGGGACAGATGGAAAACTGGGAAAACTGGCTGGAAAGGAAAGTAAGAGCAGGGGAGGGCAGAGAAAGAACAACGGAATAGAAACACAGTGTGGGGAGTGGCAGTAAGACTGTCTCATAGCATCTATGACTCAATGTCCGGTCTACCCTTGGGCTAGACTTTACCTACGCCATTCCGTAGGTGACTGGATATTAGAGATAGAAAGGAGGGTGGTGGGTGGAGGGAACTTCAGTCTACCTTTTAGTGAGTTCTAAGTCTCCAATCAGCGCTTTGGTAATAAACTGGGAATCAAATCCTCCCAGTTTCTCAGCTTAGGCAAGTGGGATATGTGTTCTTCCATTTAACACCAGTATCTCTCTAAATAACACACAAGAATTGTTATTTACTTAATATTTTACAGTTTGCAATAAAGCTTCATGGTTAAAGCTTTGGAATCAGAGAGCCTGAGATCAAATCTTACCTCTTACTGGCTATGGGACACAGGGCAAGTTATTCATTCATTCAGCAAATATTTATTGAGCCATAATGTGCCAACTAGAGATATAGCAATGAACAAACAAAGTCCCTTCTTATCTCATGGAACTTACATGCTCTTGGGGGAGAGAGACAATAGAAGGTAAGTAAATATATGAATATTAGACCATGATAGGTGCCAAAAGGAAAAATATAAAGCAGGGAAGGGAGATAAGCGTTGGGGTGTGGGGCTGTCATTTTAGATAAGGTGACCAGGGAAAGCTTACTAAGAAGGCGCTGTTGAAGAAAAGAATGCGAAGGAGGGAGCCACGGAGATAACCGAAGGAAGAGCTTCAGGAGGAGAAAGTAGCCAGTGTGCTGGCCCTAAAGTGAGGGAAAGGGAAGTTGCAAGGAGGCCAGAGGGGCCAACTGGAGCAAGCAGGGGGAAGAGTGGAACAAGGCGAGGCCAGGGCGGCAACCCAGTCAGGAGGACCTGGTAGAACACAGGGTGGATTTGGGCTTCGACTCTGGGTAAGATACGAAGGCGCTGGAAGGTTTTGAGCAGAGGGGTGAGAAGATGTGACTCAAATTTCAACAGGAACATTCTGCCTGTTGTGTCTTAGAATAGACTGAACAGAGAGAAGGGTGGAAATAGGGAAATCAGTCAGGAATCTATTGCAATATTCCAGTCAAGAGAGATGATGGCTTATATTAATCAACATCTCTGTGTATCTTTTTTCTCATCTACAAAATGGGCATAGTAATGCTCACTGTTTTGGGTAGTCAGTGAGATGTTGCATTAATAAAGTCATGTGTCCCTTAACAATGGGGATATGTTCTGAGAAATGCGTCACTGGGTGATTTTGTCATTGTGTGATCATAGGGTATACTTACACATGCCTGGATGGTATAGCCTGCTCTGCACCTAGCTATATGGTATAGCCTATTGCTCCTAGGCTATAAACCTATACGGCATGTGACTAGCCTGAATACTGTAGGCAGCTGTAACACAATGGTGAGAATTTGTGCATCTAAACGTATTTAAGCATAGAAAGGCTACAGTAAAAATATGGTATAAAGGATACAAAAGTGGCACACCTGGATCGGGCACTGACCCTGAGTGGAGCTTGCAGTGCTGGAAGTTGCTCTGTGTGAGTCAGTGAGTGAGCGGTGAGTGATGGAAGGCCTGGGGCATCACCGTACACAGCTGTGGACTCTACAGACACTGCTCACAGGCTATGCTAAATTATAAAAAAAGATTTTCCTTTTTCAATAATAAATTAACCTTAGCTTGCTGTAACATTTTTACTTTACGAACTTAAAATGTTTTAAACTTTTTGGCTCTTTTTAAATAACACTTAGCTTAAAACACAAACACTCTGTACAGCTGTACAAAGATATTTTTCTTTCTTTATATCCTTATTCTATGAGCTTTTCTTATTTTTAAAATTTTTTTACTTTTTTTGACCTTTTAAACTTTTTTTTAAAAAAACTAAGACACAAACACACGTTAACCTAGACCTACACGGCATCAAGATCATCGACATCACTGTCTTCCACCTCCACATCTTGTCCCATTGGAAGGTCTTCAGGGGCAATAACACGCTGGGAGCTGTCCTCTCCTATGCCAGCAATGCCTTCTTCTGGACCCCCTCCTGAGGGACCTGCCTGAGGCTCTTCTTGAGGAGTTGTCACTCTTTTCAGGAATACGTCAGTGGTTTGCATAGTTTGCATATGGTTTGCATCTTTTTTTCATCATAGATTTGCTTGTAAGCAGATAACGCACCATGAACATTCTTCTCTATTAATGAAAACTTTTTGGTGTTGGGGTCCATGTTTTCAAACTTTTTAAGAAGTTCATCGAGGTCTGCAAAAGTTTCTGCTAAACCCTTCACTGTGAATTTTCTTGGGAATTCTTCTTTTTCTTCTCCTGCAGTTTCCTTTTCTCTTGCCTCTTCTTCATCTCTGTGTTCCTGTTCCAGTTGCAACAACTGCTCGTTAGTCAATTAGTCAGGAACCATTTCTAGGAGCTCCTCAATGTCATCCTCATCCACACCCAGGTTAAAGCTGTTTGCCATCTCAACCTCAGCCTTGTTGATTTTTGCAACGTCCTCATCCTTGGCAAATCCTTTGAAGTCATGGATGAACCTCTTGAGTGTCTTCCTCCAGATGCCATTCATACACTCCTTGACGACAACGCTTCAAGCCCAAGCAAGGTTCTCGATGCAGTCATAGATGTTGTGATCCTTCCAAAATTGAATCAGTGTCTTCTCAGCTGCAACAATGCCCTGGGCAAAGGTCCCCTTCAGATGGTAGGCCTTAAAAGCTACTACAATTCCTTAATCTATTGATTGGGTCAGAGGTGGTATTTGGAGGGAGAAACACCACTCTGATATTGGGATGAAGAACACTAATAAAAGGAGGATGTCTGGGAATATTATCAACAATAAGCAAAATCTCAAGAGGTATGTTATTCTCCAAACAATACAGGAGGGCATCTTGGAAGAGGAGCTGGGTCATCCATGACTTCTTCTTGCTCCTGTGGTACACTGGCAGTGTGCACTAATGATATGCTTGAAGGCCCTGAGGTTCTTGCTGTGCCAGATCACAAAGGGTTTCAATTTGTAGCCTGCAACGTTGTCCCCAAGCAAGACTGTTTTCCTGTCCTTAAAAGCCTTGAAACCTGGAATTGGCTTGGCCTCCTTATGGACAAAAGCCATTTCAGGCATCCATTTCCAGGATAGGGAGCTTTCATCCATATTGAATATTTTCTTTGGCAAATAATTTTCCTCCACAATCAGTTTATCTAGAGTTTCCAAAAATTCTTCAGTTGCCTTCGCATCAGCACTCACAGATTCACCACTCACTTCCACATTACGTAACGAATAACGATTCTTGAATTGTTTAAGCCACCCAGAGCCACCAGTAAATTCAGCATCATAGTTGGGTCCATCCATTTCTTGCAACATCACAAACAAATTTTTTGCTTTGGTTGTGATCATCACGGTGCTGAAGGGGGTACACTTCTTCCTGGTCTTCAATCCAGGTCATTAGAAATTTCTCCAGGTATGATATAGGCCCTCCTCAAATCTTCCTTCATTTCATTGCCTTCAATGAAGCAGATCCTTTAACAGCTTCCATCACTTTGTTCTTGTTCTTCAAGATTTTCGCTACGGTGGACTGGGACATGCCTGACCGGCAAGCAATAACCATCACTGATTTTCCACCTTCATGGCCCTAATCACTGTTAATTTTGTTTCCAGGTCAATCACTCAACATGGCCTCTTGAAAGCAACATTAGCAGTGGATTTTGGATGCTCAGGGGCCATGATGAACAAAACAACATGAGATTAAATCAAACACAAGAGAAAATGATGCAATCAAGAGACGCGGTAAACACAAGATGTGTGAGGCTGCTGCCGGTCTAACACAGCATATTGTCTTACAGTAAACTTCATTTTTAATAAGCAGAAAGAGCACACTGAAATAATGATAAAAAGTATAGTAAATACATAAACCAGTAACATAGTCACTTATTATCATTATCAAGTATTATGTACTGTACGTAATTGTGTGTGTTCTCCTTTTATATAGCTGACAGCACAGTAGGTTTTTTATATCAACATAACCACAAACACATGAGCAATGCATTATGCTATGACATTCCAATGACTACAGTGTCACTAGGCAATAGGAATTTCTCAGCTCTATTATAATCTCATGGGACCACCCTTGTATATGTGGTCTGTCATTGAGACGTCATTATGCAGCACATGACTTTAGATATAAAACCCTTAGAACAGTGCCTGGCATATAGCAAACACTCAAATATAAGCTATTGTCAAATTAATGAACAGAAACCTCTTCAAATTGGAGTTGGGAGGCCAAAAGGGGGAGCTCTCACACCCCACATCGATAGCAGAGCCCAACAGGAAGGAGAAAGACCTCTTTACTGGCAAGAAGCTCAGCCAATGAGAGACTGTCACAACTCAGTCGATGAAAAGCCACTACACCTCTAACTCTTTGTTTAAAATAGCCCTCTCAACTTCCTCTTCCCCCCATAAAACAGTTTCTCCTCCCTTGCTGCGGAGGACTTGCACGTGGCTCCACCATGGTTGCAGATCCCAAATTGCAATTCTTTGCTGATCCTAAATAAATCCATTTTTGCTGGAGAAATAACTGGCCATCTATTTGTTTAAGGTCAATACTATTATATGGTCTTCTTTGAATCTCTCAATTAGCCCCATTTTGTGGATACAGAAACTGAAGCTTAGAAAACTTAAACGACTTGTCTAAAGTCACAATATCTTGACAGGGTTACAGGCAGGACTTGAACACGAGAGGTAAGCCTGTGTGCTTTACACTGGGACATGTTGCTGCCGCTTTCAGGGGAATAACTCACTCAGCCTCATTCTAGCCAATGTTTGCTCTGACTCTGGTCATCAGATTACTTAGTCACTCAGCAAAGTGCTTAGCAAACTGGGCCACAGAACTAGTAGGTTTGACGGATGGAAAGAGAGACGGAGAGGTTCAGAGCACAAGGCCAGTCCTAGTTAGAGCAGGTCCCCTCAGAACGTAAGGAAGATAAACACGAGATATCCTAGAAAGAAGGAAAAGAAGAAATGTAGAAAGAAGACGAAACATATCGGCACACAGGAAAAGCAAAAGAAGAAAAAGAGAAGTAGAGAAAGAGAGGATTAAATCCTAGGGACAGATTTTACCTTCTTCAAAATCCTGCCCAGGCTGTCACCGCTTTCCTTCTTCTTCCCTATGGTTTTCTTCAACGACTTTGCATTCCACCTGCTCCAAGGCTTCCACATCTCTCTTTAGCATCCATAAAATGCAGATGGCCCACACTGAGAAACCATTACGGGAGCAGAAGACACACAGAAGGAAGTTTACCTCAGATGAAGGCCAAGTGAAGAGCAGCATCATCGTCATTAGGCGTCAGTTAAGAATGCAGAGTGATTTCTCCTTGGGATGAGTTATTCATGGTAATTTTTTACCAGGAACGGGAGACATGCTTTTCCTTTCAAATTTCTCTTCCTTCGAAGGACAGATGTCTCCCAGGGTCTTTTTCTTTTTTTTTTTCCTCTACTTGTTCTGAAAAAAAAAAAAATGTATATATATAGAGAGAGAGAGAGACTAACAGAAATATTTTTAATATAAATAAGCCATCCTTCTGTTGTGAAATATCACAGTACGAACTTCATTATTTCCGCCAGCACCCACAGGATAGTGTCTTTACCAATGTGTGTTCCCCCTTCTCTTCATTAGAAAGCTTAATGTGAGTTTATATTCATTAACAAAGGTAATCCTGGCTTAATTAGCATCCAAATTTATATGTCCTCTCTTGTAGAGATAAGCCCTCAGAAATTAATAAAAACATCTTCTAATTTATGCAAATCACCATAATCAGATTTGTCTTTAATTTTATGTGCATTAAGTTTCTGTCTAGAAAATGAACAGAGCTTGGCAAAGGCCAGAACACATACAAATCCAAGCCAGATAAAGAAATCCTCATTCCTAATAAAAATGTGGGGAATAGGGGGCTGCACCCAGGGACAAGACCTTTTATTAATTCGATAGCATGTGAAGGTAACAAGGCCATCTTCAAGCTATTTCATTTCTTCTCCAGTTAAATCAAATCTGAAAGATAGAGTCAGACACCTGGGGGTTGTAAAAATGTCAGCGGATGAGCCAAATGGCAAAGATAGCATTAGTAGGGTCAAGTTCATTTTCACTGGACTGAGAAAATTAAAGCTGGAACACTCCCAAAGAACCTTGACAGCTAAAGAAATGCAAGGATTATAGTAACTGACATTTAATCATCCTTAACGGATTGTTAGGTAATATCTTTCAAATCTTTACCAATAAAGCAGCAGGCATGTTTTTAAAAATGCTTTGCTTTGGTAAACGTAATTAGGGGATTTGAGCAAGGAGCCCCAAACATCCAGCCCAATTTTAATTTTGGTGGCACAAGCAATGGCTCCCCAAAGACCTCACCTCTTAGCAGTTGCATCTGCTCACCTGATTGATGTTACAGGAGGGAACTACACCAAAATCTGTAAAACGTTCACAGCCACATGGTGTCAGGGACGACAACTGGATAAGTGCATGCCAGTTATTCTGGTGAAAACTTAGGATTTCAAGTAAAAGCCTTTTCCCATGGTACTTACAGTACCCTACTATCTGTCAGTCTGAAGCGTGTTCCCCTATGGTCCCTAAGCAGGTCTGGGAAATCACACACATGCTATGGGGAGCCTCAACTGGAGTAAGTTAGAACAAGCAGGCAAGAAGAGAAAAATGTATTTTGTTCATTGAACCAGAGGATGAATATCAACCATTTTATGTCTTGTTTTCAAAGGCTATCAAATACCTAAGAATTATCAAGAACAATAATGCTTTCATTTTCTTTTCTACTTGACCAGTGGGTTTGTATTAACTTGGCAGTCTACTCTACCAAGCTTGAAAAATAATTAAATTTAGTTAAAGAATATTTACAACTATTTGTACACGTAAATGTTAACTTTTCAATCCTCTGTTACTGTCGTCTGTTTTATATTTTTAAAAGTGGAACAAAAATTATTAAGCAGAGTTTGAGTAATTTAAAGCATATAGCTGGAAAACCTTTTTTCTCTGAATTGTTAGGAAAGAAATCAAGAAAATTATCTCAACCAAATCCAGTCAATTTTCCCCAGGACTGTTTCACTGAACAGCTCCTAGAGGTGTCATTCACATCATTAGCTGTGAGAATGGTACTCCCTTCAGTTGTGCAGTGCACAGCCTGTGCAGCCCTACATGGTGGCTCAGATTTTCTCTAGTCTGCTCCTCTCCGAATGCAGACTTCATGAGCCAGTTTCTGAGTGTCCACTCCACATTGTGCAAAGCGAGATTTTCATTCAGAGACTGTCTGCCATGATAAAGTCAAATTAGTTGTTTGTCCCATTTTGCCAAGCATTGTATTATCTGTCCCAGTTCCCATGTATGAATAGCAATAATAAATGAGGGTAGTAGGTTTATCCGTTAATATTTATTGAGAAACTATTATATGCTAAACACTCTGTTATCTTAATTAATCCTCACAACAAATCTATGTAATAATATTATCACCATCTCCACGGGATGATTCAGTTAATAAATTAGAATATGCATCTAAATCCAGATTTACTTAATCCCAAAGCACGTGCTCTTGTCCCTGCATAATTTTACCACCGTGCTATTCTAAGAGCAGCCTTTGATAAATGGCTAAGCAAAACTCCCCCAAATGTGATCAGTTGTCATAAAGATGATGCTACAACATAAAAGGGAGTCTTAAAGTACTGTCTCCACTTCTTAGGGAAGATGGTGATGCGGTTAATATGAAGAAGGGTATGGGAAAGCTCCCAATGGAGACACTGCAAAGAGGATGGCGTGAACCGAAGGCAAACGACCTGCTGCGGCAGAGGATTCTAGGGGCGACAGAGCTGTGCAAAGCCGATGCAGACACAGAAATGAGGAGCTGGGGATATGAGACAATGCAGAAGCTACAATGCTTGGCAAAATGAGACAAGGCACAAGCTACCAGATGATTCTACGACCAAGGGGAAGTGGACCAGACTAAGGGAATCAATATCAAGAGGCTCAGAGGCAACAGAATCAACGGTGACAAGTACATCAAGAACACCGCCTGGCTAGGAGAAAATGGACTAAATCAGGACTTTAGCGGGGAGAGGGAACATTCCAGAGGAGCACCAGGTGATTGAGTCAGGACCTGCAACCAGAGGTGGCCCCAAAAGAGAGGTTCGGATTTCTCAAGAAGAGTTTGGGCCAGAGCTGGAGGTGGGGGAAAGAGGGCAGTCTTTCCTGAGGGATTATCCTGTCCTTTGACCAATAGGAGCCGGGCGGGGAGGAGGCCACAGGAACAGACGGACAGACAGATGGATGGACGGAGAAAGGGTGGAAGCAAAGAAAGCAAGTTATTAGATTGGCTGTAGCTTAAAGCCTCATTGGCTGTTTGTGATTGGTTGGCGTTGGCGTTTTGATCTCACAACCTCGAGGTGTTTACAGGCTTGGGTTTGGGTTTGGTTCTGCAGGTCGCCACGGCATTAGAGGCCCCTTAGTCTAGTGGCCTCCTTGTTTAATTAATTTAACAGTGTTCACCAAATCCCATTTCCTTTTCTCCTGGCTCAGAGCTGAACTACTTTCCCCAGTCTCTCGTGGCCTGTGTGGTTGAATTTGGCCAGTGGAACGAGTGAGGCAGTAGGCACCACTTTGTGGATAAAATGGTCAAGATACATGCATGTCTTCTCCCCATTCTCCTTCCCCATCTGCTGCCTGAATGAAGAGGGCAGCAAATTTCTGGGAGTAGGTACAGCCACAGGTGGAAGGAGTCTGGGTCCCTAAATAAGCACATGGAAGCCGAGCAACCAGAAATACACATTGCACTGTGACAGGAGCGAGAAATAAACTTCTGCTGCTGTAAGCCACTGAGGACATGCAGCTGGTCTCTCACAGCTGGTAGTGTTACCCTCACTAATACAGGCTACTACAAATGGCTTAGGAGTAGAACCTAGAGGAAGGCTGTGGAGACTGAGAAATGAGTGATAAAGTGTCTCTGAGGGCCAGCCCAGTGGTGTAGTGGTTAAGCTTTCATGCTCTGCCTTGGCAGCTGGGGGTTTGCAGGTTCAGATCCCAGGAGCCAACCTACGCACTGACCATCAAGCCACGCTGTGGTGGCATCCCACATGAAATAGAGGAAGACTGGCACAGACGTTAGCTCGGCGACTATCTTCCTCAAACAACAAAAAAAAGGAAGATTGGCAACAGATGTTAGCTCAGGGGCAATCCTCCTCACCAAAAAAAAAGGTATCTCTGAAACCATTTAATGCTTTAAAAGTTGGCCAAACTCACTGAAGGAAGTAAGCCTCCACGCACTCAATTATCCGATTGAGGCGCCGGAGTCAACAGTGACGAGATAGAAAAGTTCTTGCCTTCATGAGGCTTATATCCAAGAAGTTCAGGCAAGAGGGTTGGAGATAGACATTAATAAGTTTCTAAAAAGTAATTAATTAATTTCAGATAATGAAAAACGCTATGAGGGAAACAAAATTGGGTGATTTGATAAAGGTGACAGGAGGGCTAGCCACCTCGGTCACAGTGACCTCCCGGGGAAGGCCTCCCTGGGAAGTAATTTTTGAGCTGAGAACTGAATAATGGAAAGAAGCCAGACATGTAAAGATCAGGGGAAAGAAGAAACAGCGAGAACCAAAGCGCTCGGGCGAGAACAAGCTTTGTATGTTCCGTGGGCAGAAAGCAAGCCAGTGCTCTGCAGCCTAGGGCAGGAGGCGGAGAAGGCCAGTGGGAGAGGTGACCCTGGCAAATCAGGGAGGCCCTCGGGGGCCATGCTCTGGAGCTGTTGAAATTTTCCTTTTAAATTCATTCTTAATGTAATAGGAAGCAATGAGAGGTTTTCATATTCTGGATTGCATAGGCAGCGTAACGGGGCTTAGCAGAGCTCTATATGATTACATGTGTGAAATGTCTCACGCCCATGGCAAACTTTAGTTGGACTTTGAACTGGATGATCAGGTGGAGACAAGGAAATATCCCTGATTTAAAAAAAAAAAAAAGAAAGAAAGTCAGGATGGTCAGGATGGAACCCCACACACACACTTTTCTCTTGGGTGGCAGAGAGTTTGAACCGGACATCTCCAGGATATGGCAGGCTTTGAAGACATCTGCCATACTTGTCAATGCCTGTATTGTTCCCTGGGTTATGAAAAATATCACTAGTCAGGGGTTGGAAAGTATGTACAGGGTGGGGGGTGGGGGGAATTTGTCCTCAGTCTTTCTCAACGTCACCTTAAAATTTGTTCTGAGGCATTATTCTTTTCTTCGGAGTGCTATTTAAAAAAATAAAAACAATTCAGAAGCCCTGACATTTGTATATATGGATGTGAAATACCACAATATATTTTAAATTGCAAATAAGGAAACAAGATATTTGTGTGGAAAGGGCAAATATGTTAGTGCTACTCTTTCTGACCAGTCTGATGATGTTGAATGCCAAGGTTGTAAGCTTCCCATGATGGCTCTCAGCGTCAATTGTCTGCAGGATT